GGGAAACGAATTGTACTGAAGGAAAAAAACAATAATCTCCTTATGTTTTGGGTGTTCGTTTCCCATTCCAAGATTCTCACCCCTCGCTCATCTCGGAGGCAGTTTTGCTTCGCTTTGCTCGCTTCAAACAGTCATTATAAGTCATCTAGGCCAGAAGAGGATTAGGGAGGCACTGGCAAAAGTTGGAAAATGCAAGGCTGTTAGGTCGGAGAAATGAGACTTCCAGAGGCGTAAACAACCCAGCAGCACACCACCACTGCTGCCTCAGAAGGAAAAAATCCCCTCTGTATAAATTTTAAGCAGGTAGATACTAAGAAAATCATGGGCAGCGATGCAAACCAGCTCCTCTTCACAACGAAGGAATGAAGCCAACCTCTGTCCTTCCCTGGAAGGGGTGAGCTGTGCTTTCCAGACAAGGAGCAGCAGCTTCACCAGCAGAACCAGACTGCTTCTGAAAACCCCAGTCCTGAGCCCTGGCTGTGCCTCACCTCTACCCGTGGCAGCACTGCTACTGGAACTGATTAAAGGCAAAGTGGTAGGACCAGGAGCCGTGACGTGAGAAAATATCCCGTGTAGCATCCAAGGAAGCCACCAGATAATCCAAAAAGCTGCTTGAGAGCCTGGCTGGCAGAGATCTCGGGATCTGCCAGGTCCAGTCCAAGTATTTGTTCATTCCCTCATCCCCTATTTCTTCACGCCAATTAGCTGTAGCATTTCCTAACTATTGCCCAAGTCCAAATAACCACTTTTGAAATCCTGACGTTTGAAATCCTGAAGGGTTTATTAAGTCTACTAGATGGCTGACATTTAAAACACCCGTTTTCCTTCAAAGGTGGCAAAGTCAGAAACACTTTCACAGCAACTAAGGTGGCTCCTCAAGAAGCAGAGCTCCTACAAGTTCGTGTGGTGGCAGTGTTTCCCAAATGGCCAGGTATTTATTCCCTGTTTGTTCCCTCAGCCTGTCAGCAAGGGTACACTTGTTTTACCCCTGGAAATCTCTCGTCCATGGATGGTGATGCAGGGAGTGGCAGTAGGCAGAAGGCAAAGGAGATGTCTGAGGAGCAGGGACTCGCTGATCAGGTGAGCTGAAGCTGAGGGCTGTGTGGACAGACTTTACCTTCTCTCACTGCTGATACAAACACACCCTGGAACCAGATCCAACAGAGTTATATCACTTGTCTCTCAAAAGACAAGTTTGTATGTCTCAAAAGAACAACAACTAGCCCTGATCCTGGGCCATCCTCAAAAGCCCATGGCTACCTGTGGATTAGGAAATGATTTTGAAAAAAAGAGAAAAAAGAATTTGTTGTATACAATCATCTCCATCAATGCTGTAACTAGGCTCTGTGTCCAGAAATGCCACCCGAGGTTCCACCAGCCAGTTGCCAAAAGAACAGCTTTGCAAAGGGCCTCCTCAGACACCTCAGGAGGCAACAGGGCTGACAGGCAGAGCCACAGCAGGGGCAGAGACCTCCTCCCAGCAGCTCTGGCAAGCCCAGCACACACCACACACCATTTTACAGCACAACCCACACTCTCAGAGGCAGTCCCTGCTCCACATTCCTCAACGAGCCCACCTTGGGCAGCCCCTCCAACTCCATCAGCAGCAAAAGGCCATTGTCTTCACAGACTTTGGGCCCCTTGCTACTTCCCTGCAGGACACGAGGGCACAGGAGTCAACAGTTCTCCCTGGACCCCAGAGGCCAGGCTGGCTCTAGTTTTCCTTCTGGTTTGTTCTTGAGGCAGCAAAGGCTCAGCTGAAACCTCAACGTTCCAGGTGTAACTTGGCGCTTCCCAACGACGCCTCCAGAAAACATCCCACTGCTCCCCCTGCCTCCCCCCCCCACATAATAACTCCTACATTTTACCTCAACGGAGGATGTAGTCGCTTTCTTGTGAAAACCCAGAGTTTAAAGATGACTCCTTCCACTTGCCATAATCCATTGTGCTGGAGAATCCGACACACAATGTGGCATTGTTCCCCGCACGACTCTGAGCTGTGCCTCCTGCTCTGAACACACTGAAACTCCACTTGAGGCAACAGCAATTTCCATCCAGGAGGTAAAAGGAGGATCTTGTATCTGATCTAATACGGGATAAATCAGTGTGCACTCCTTTATTGCTTACAGTTCCCATCAGCTCAAGGAGAGACACTGTCCTAGAGTTTCAAGGCTATCCACGCTGCCTTTGTGTATGGAAAACACACCTCATGCTTGGAGATATTTTGAGAACCCAGTGCCAATCCTTCCCAGGAGTCTGGGCGAGGGATGGGAAAGCACTAAACCCTGGATGCTCCTCACTGTTTCCAGCAGGCAGTTCTGGGAGAGGTCACACAAGGATTTTTCCTGAACTGGGTCTGAATTCCCATCAGCTTTTCTGGATTCTGACCCTTCACTGTGGCTGTGAACAGGAGCTCCCTGGCAGAGGAGCATCCCAGCACAAGCCACGGAAGGCAGACTTTAATATTGCTCCCCACGCCAGTATTTTCTCTCATTATGTGCTTAAGAGCTGTATGATTAGGGAGATTAATTTTTGCAGCTGGACATTTTCTTTAAGAATGTCATTTCCCACACAGTTTTCTCATTTAGCTTTCTTTTATTCTAGCCCCAAAACATTCACTTACCCAGGAGAAGACTCTTCTGCCAGGTTCAGAAAGGGACATCTCTTGCACTTCAGTCCTCTCTTTTTACTTCTGCAACAGCCTCACTTTCAGAAAACCCAGTTACTACCCGTTTCAAGCCAGTAACTTATCTGCATTTCCACAGGATCAACACCAAGAGTTACAGCCCCTTGTCTCCCCCTCAGTGTCACCTGGGAAGGGGTCGACGGGTCCTTCCCTGCAAACAGGCCCAGATGGTGTCTGGGGACACACTTCCACAAAAGCTTTGTGTTTACCCTGCCACCAGGCCTCTAGGAATCGATGGTCAGGCACAGTAACAAGGGATTTGCTCCTCCAAATTCTGCCTGAATATTCTGTTCTGAGAGTTGAGGCATTAGGGAAACAAAACCAGAAGGAAACGGCCTCCTGACCGTCCCTGTGCCCACGGCACACAGCACCCTGGCAGGCTCTCCTGCCCCTGAAAAGGCCTTCTCGCATACTCTTTTTTCCCTGAAAAAGACAAGCTGCTGAATAAAAACACGAAATTATAAAGTTCTGTTGCTGTCACTTCAGTCCTCAGCAGAGCAGTGGGGAAACAGCCGAATTCAGCTCACAGCCTCCACAAGACAACTTCTCTGCATTTCACAGCAGACTTTGCAGGCAAAGAGAACAGCTGGACTACATGTTCTGGTTTTTAAACAAGCTTACTTTCACAACTGATGGCCTTAGTCTCCTCACTCACCCGCTTAAGCTTCCCACCTCCCAGGGATAAACCTGCCTTTCAAGTTGTTTATGCCAGCCCTCCCTCTCCTAATCTTTCACCCCACTCTCACCATACCCCCTGACTTCAGAGGGCTCCATATCAGTTGGTATCACTTGCAACAGAATGAGCTTTATATTTTCCTCAGCAAACTCAACTGGAACAGCGATTAAAACACGCAGCAAAATAACAGTTCTTCAATACCAAGAGACTCTTCATTCAGAGAATCCCAGGAAATGAATTCTCAAAACCCACACACCAATCTTTTAAGCAGCACTAAACTGGTCCCTAAACGATTTCCCTGCACTTCAAGGGAAGCAGATTGTGGAATATTTTTATTTATTAATACATCTACTCTCAAGCTTGTGCTTTAACACAGTCACGTTGGCTTTAAGCAAATGATAAACCTCACACAACTTCTTCTTTTAAAGGGAGGGGAGGTGGGTGGAAGAAAAAGATGAGAGAAGAGAGATTAAAATTAGTCACGAGACAGCTTATAAATACACCAGTGGGCAAAGGGAGTGTTCTCTCTTCTATTTAACTTAAAAATAGAGAGCTAAGCATTAAAAGACAAACAGATGTGATAGAGCTGATGAGCTAGAGCAACAGTGCAGCAGAGCTTAGAGAAAGTCAGTGGGGCAGTTTAGCCAGGGATGTGTGTTGCAGGGGGGAAGGAGGGAGAGGGCGAGGAATCTTGCTTGTCGGAAACTAGCTACTGGCTCAGGAAGTCCCAGCAGGAGAAAAATGAAGGGAAACCATAGGATTGCAAGAGAGGAACCAACAGACAGAGTCACAGAGGCAGTATGGAGCAGAGGTATAATGTAGAAAAAAGGGATGCCAGGCCAGGAAATTATTTGCTACAAATGTTAAGCCTCTAGCAGCAAGGGCTTGAACATGACCTGTGCTTGTGCTTGCAATGTCAGCTGGAAGTCACAGGGATGCCTCGAAGGGAACAGCTCCAGTACATCCAGGGAGGGGCAACGTGAACCACACGCTCAAACCCCTCTGCTGTCCCCACCCCACCCAGCGTGGGGCAACACCTTGAACGCAGCCACACCCAGGAGGAAGCAAGGTGTAAGAGATGGGGGCTTCTGCTGCCCCCCTCCTGATGCTTCCAGGCTGGCTCTGCCCCACCCCATACCTGCAGCTAACAGGAGTACGAGGATACCACCTAAAAATACTCCACACTCTTTGATAAGGGCGCAATAAACAGATTTATCAACACCCACTGTGCAAATCAGGACGTAACCTGGAAATGGGTGAAACCCCAGTTGTGAAGGACAGATGCTTCAGGGCGCTAGGAAAACAGCACATGATGTAATGGCAGCTGCTGTGGCTGGCAGCTTGGGCCAGTGGCACAGCACGGCAGGCAGGAAAGGAGCACTGAGCTTCAGGACAATAAGAAACCACAAAAAACCATGTTAGAAACAGCATCAGTAGGACCCGTCCACCCGGTGTCCTCTGCCCTCTGGGCTAACATGGGTGCTGAGGAAACAAGCACCACAGAAAGCAACTTCCTGATCTGATTTTCTCACATAGATGCTGAGTGACAGCTCTGAGGGTTTAGGTCCCAGCAAGAGCGAAAAGCAGCCACGGCAAAAGAGAAAAACAAGCAGGCAGGAAACTACAAAATCACCTTACTTTCATTAGGCAGCTCCTCCCGATCCGGGGCATCTAGAGGGGCTGAGGTGCTGCCGCCACCGTCGTCCAGGGTGAGGATGAGGGGCACGTCATCGTCCATGCTCACAGCCATCCTGTCCCCGCGGAGGCTCCTCCCCCGGGAACTTTAAATCACACCTTTTTCAGTTCCTCTTGTAAAACTCTTAGGTCAAAAACTCTCCCCAGAAAGTCTTCCATCGGGGGTGTCTTCTGGACATAAGAATATGGAGGTGCACGGACCCATCTCTAGAGGCCACAGTTCAAAAGAGGATGGAGTTATTTGCTTACGGGACGTGAGACTAACGGCAGCGTTTAAGCAGAAGTTAGATTCAAAACGTCGGCTCTGGTCTGCCCGATCCTGTCAGCGCAGAGCTCGCCAGCAAAACAAAACGCTTCTCGACATGCTCCTGCAAGCAGCGGGAGCCAGCATGATGCTGAGCACCACCGGCACGCCCAGCTCCTTCCCCCGGCCGCCAAAACGCCCCGAATTCAGCTGGAGGAGGCGATAGAGCAGGGGAAACCGGACAAGCGCAGCCTGCACCCCTCAAGTCGCCGGGTGTTTTTTTACTGGGTGGCGT